CCTAGTAGTGGTAAAAATCTCCTCATAGCTTATGGTTTACACTATCATCACCTAGTGGTGGTAAAAATCTCCTCATAGCTTATGGTTTACACTATCAACACCTAGTAGTGGTAAAAATCCCCTCATAGCTTATGGTTTACATTACCATCACCTAGTAGTGGTAAAAATCCCCTCATAATGTATGGTTTACATTACCATCACCTAGGGGCCAAAACCTACTCATAAGTTAGGGTTTATGCTACAATCATGTGACCCAACTGGATCATATATTGGTTTGTAACCTCTGTCAATGAAGATTTCAGCAAAGTTCTTGTACATTACAGAATGTTCTTGTGACCCAAGTGGATCACTTAGTAACACATGTGAACAAGTAGGAGGTCAATGTAAGTGCAAGAAACATGTTGTAGGTCAAAGATGTGACCGCTGTGCCCCAGGAACCTTTGGATTTGGACCCGCTGGATGCAGGGGTAAGTTTCTTTTGCTGCATTGCTGTTTCTGATTTTGTTTTTTATAAAATGTGGTCATACTCCTTTATCTAAATGCTTAGTTGTATACCTAATGTTTTAAAGTGATTCTGCATTTTGTTCCAGATATTGTCTCAAATGCTTGGTTGTGTATATAAAGTTTCTAAGGAATTCTACATTTTTTCCATGTTCCCTTTCCTGAATGCTTCTTTGTATATCTAAAGTACCTAAGGGATTCTATACTCTGATAAAAGCTGGCACTTGAAGACATTGATATGGCTTTAATCTCTTCCAAGGAGAAAACGTTGACTACTTCACACCAGAAAATAGTAACGATAAAACAAGGTGGTGTTCCTGATATAAAACTTACTGATCCTAGATGGTACTTTGAATTTAATTGAGTGTTACACAAAATGGTAGTGGATGTCATTACTAGTACTCATAAATAGTACATTTTACTAAAGCATTCTGATGGTTTAGTAAATCAGAACCCTGTTTTAAGGGTTTGAATTTGTTAGATTGGAAAGTTATTCAAATGTATTCTGAATGCCATCTAATTAATAAACTGTAGAAAATATTCTGAGATTTATTGAATCTAAAAATTAAGTCCAGTTATAGTGGAATGGATTGAAATTCTTGCATACAAAAAATTGGTCTGAAGAAGGTTCTTTCAAGTCAGAACTTTGGACTAAAGGAGTTTAAGTTCCGGTAATCCAAATATTTTGACTGAAGAAGTATAGGTTTTATTGCTTAAAATTTAATATCTGTACTGACTATTAATTAAAAGTGAAAATCTCCATTCAACATCCAGTCTGCATATCAAGGAGACATTTTATGTGGATTGATTCCTGAATAAATCTCTTTAGCACTCTCCCGTTCTTAATTATGAATAGATATTTGAACTCCTTACACTATCTGGAACCTGAATTTCCCACCAGCATGGTTGAATTCATGTTAGTGTCCAGGTTATGAGAGTGTAAAAACCCATACCCCACTCCAAAATCCCACACAAAACACAGTAGCGGCAACGCATGTTGTGCAACACAACGCCTGGATTCTAAGCTCTATCAAGCCATTTTCTCCATGGTGTTTATGAATTCTGTTGATAGGTGTGACCGAGGAAGGACCAGACAAAGCTTACTTGCCACTGTAAATTGTCTAAGTGCAGTACCTGCCTGAAGTAAACACTTCTATTTTGTGAAAGAGGAGCATATTCTGGTCAAATTCTAAACTCTGCATCTTCATGGCTAAACACTATTAAGAGGAGAATTCTTTTGACAGTAATATGTTTTCTTTTTTTTTTTTGGTTAATAGATTGAGCCCTTTATTGAAGTACATTTTCTTTTAGTTCTCATTTGAATAGCTAAAATTGTGGCCCGCTCAATCCCCAAAATTCAGTCTCATTGACTTGTGGACTGCATGTTAAAAACTGTAGGTTTGAAGTAGCATATTCTTTATTAATTTGAATTAAAGATATTTACTGAAAATGTGAAAAGATGTCAAAGAAACACTACAATATGTTAAAGAATTCATTGTTCACATTTTTGGTGTGAATTTTTTTTGAAAAGTTTGTGTGAAATTGTTGAATCAAATTTATTCAACTTTTTCAGCTTGTGATTGCCACAATATTGGTTCCTTGGATAATCTCTGTGACACTGAAACTGGCCAGTGCAAGTGCCAGCCAAATACTTATGGACAAAAATGTGATGAATGTCAGCCTGGCTATTGGAACTACCCAAACTGCCAACGGTGTGACTGTAATGGCCATGCTGACACCTGTGATCCAAGAACAGGCTTTTGTATTGATTGTCGAGATTTTACAGCAGGTCCAAAGTGTGACAAGTAAGACTGTTTCTGTTATGGTCGCATTAATCTGAGTAGAAAATACTCTACAAAAATCAGTGGTTTACTTAGTTGAATTACATTTTTTATAATGCAGGAAGGTTTGTAAACAAAGATAGTATGAAGTTTTTTACAGTGTGTTTGGTTTCCTAATTTATCACTTTAAAAAGTATGCTAAAGGTCTAATAATTTATAGTCTCTGTTGTAATCAAACTAAAGAGCATTTTTTTAAGGGATAGACTGCTTTTGATAATTGTTAATTACTAGCCTAGTCTATAATCTTAGTTGTATTTTTAATTTGTTTATTATTGAAAGTTACTTAGTTACAGGTAGAAAGAATCTTAGTTGTATTCATAATCAGTCTTTTACATAGTTATGATGCTTGTAAGTATTCTTATTGTATAAATTTCATACAAATGAATTTTTAGAAATTCACCAACTTGAAGATGAGTAAGTACAACTTATTGGATACTTAAATAGAAATTTAAGAACTTTTAAACTAGCTAGTATAACTTATTGTAACACTGAATTTCATTAGAAATTCACCAATATAAAGATGAGTAAGTACAACTTATTAGAACACTGAATTTCATTAAAAATTCACCAACTTGAAGATGAGTAAGTACAACTTATTAGAACTCCGAATTTCATTAGAAATTTACCAACTCGAAGATGAGTAAGCACACCATATAAGAACATTGAATTTTGTTAGAAATTTACCAACTTGAAGATGAGTAAGTACAACATATTAGAACATTTTCTTTCCAGTGAAGTGAAATTATAAAAAATAATTTGTATTGATGAACTGTTCCACTTAGCTTCCCAAATTTGTATGTATATCATTATTTCTGCTGTAGGTGTGAAACTGGTTTCTATGGTGATCCAAGAATTGGAATAGAAATGTCTTGCAAACCATGCCCTTGTTTTGGAAAACCAGGCAGTAGAGTAAGCCATGCCCAGGGGTGCCACCTTGATCCTAGAACCCAGAATGTTGTTTGTGATTGCAGTCTTGGATATGCAGGTATTTGTTATACAAAATGAGAATTAGCAAAATGTTGGACAATGCATCAAACTTGAAACAAAGAATATAATTTTGTCCATTGTAAGTCTGAGAAAGAAATCTCTAAGACTGTTCCCATGCAATTCTCTAATTATTCTTACCAGAATTATTAAATAAGGTCCAACATTTAATTCAAAATACAAATTATTAATTTTCATGTTTCATACAATTAACATTATAATCAGTGCTCAAGGGGAAAAACGTTGTTACTTTGGAATGGAAATACATTTCTAATATTTTTAGAAAAGAAACTATTTATTACATCTTTTCTGTAACCCTAAGCTAAATCAAAAATTATAAGTACATTATTTTATCCATACACCTTCAAAGATACATGAAAATCAACACCATCTTTTCATCCACATACCTCAAACTACATCAAAAACCATCACCATCTTTTCATCCACACACCTCAAACTACATCAAAAACCACCACCATCTTTTCTTCCTCATACCTCAAACTACATCAAAAACCATCACCATCTTTTCATCCACATACCTCAAACTACATCAAAAACCATCACCATCTTTTCATCCACACACCTCAAACTACATCAAAAACCACCACCATCTTTTCTTCCACATACCTCAAACTACATCAAAAACCATCACCATCTTTTCATCCACATACCTCAAACTACATCAAAAACCATCACCATCTTTTCATCCACATACCTCAAACTACATCAAAAGTCATCACTATCTATTTATCTTCAGACCCTGCAAACTCCATCAAAAAACCATCACCATCATTTCATCCTCATGCCTGTTAAGCAACATCAGAAATTATCACCATCTTCATTACATTTCTTCACACTTCACTGTTGAACACAAGATAGATGCTTATAATTTGTACACATTTATATTGAATATAGTTAATATAGAATATCTGTGAAATATCTGCAAGACGTTTATTGTAATGTGTAATTTTTTTAAGGACAAATGTTTGATCTTCTTAGTGTCTAATAGTTGTATTGAATTTGTTTAGTTGTATATAGGATTTAGTATTTTGCTTCTTCATTGTTTTTAGTTTTTGGATTTAGTATTAGTAATGTCCTGCTACTTGACTCTTCACTTAAACAGTAACACGTGTAGTAATGAATTATCTGTTATGCAGTTGGAGGTGTTTAATTGGTCACCAGATGTTTTTAGGGTTAATTTATACACAGATTTAAAGATGCTACATTATTCAGTGAACATTAAATTGGCCCAGTACTTGAAGCCAACAGCTAATGTTTGTGTATTTTGTAGGTAAGGTACACTCTGTTATTTCTTTTGTTACTTTCTTCACAGTATTGGTTAGATATTCATTATATCTAATCCTTTCCAATTCTATTTTTTACTGTATGTTTATTACAGAGAAGGTTTTGCATTGTTAGTTTAATATACTGATTTAGAACTAACCATTTCCTAAGCTGCTCAAACTTTGTGAGATATTATTGGGATTATAGCTAAACATATGATTAATAAGAAAAGTATTTACATGATGAAACAATGCATTCTAATCTTTATAAGTAATAACAGAAGAAAAATATATTTTAATTAGCTGTAGTCGTTACCAGGTTTAATTTTAGCTTTAATCTGAGTATTTAACTTGCTTTGTTTGGAAGTTAATATTTATTATACATACAGGGAAAAGATGTGATCGATGTGCCAATAATTATTTTGGAAATCCAAATGCTCCTGGTGGTGAATGCCGTAAGTGTGAATGTAACAACAACATTGATGAGACCTTGTCTGGAAACTGTGATGCCATGACAGGAAAATGCCAACACTGTCAGTTTAACACAGAAGGATTTCACTGTGAGCACTGTAAGCCTGGGTTTTATGGCATAGCTACAAGACAACAGTGTATTGGTAAGTACCATTTCAGTTTTGTCTGTTCTCTTAAAAAGTGAAAGAAATGAGATTGAAAAAAATGACAGTTAAAGGCAAAATAACAGCCTAGATATTTTAGTGAAATTGAATGAAAAGCTCAGAAAGTTTTCTTTGTTAAAATGTTTCAGTGTTGTGTATAGAGTGAGGTTAGTAAAGTTTGGAAATGATCCTGCTAAGTTATTGCATTAATCCATTATTTCCTTACTTTTCAATTACTTCCAGACAAAAACTGGCAAGACTGTTAAAAGAATAAAAAGCAGTTATAGCTTCACTGCATAAGAATTGGATCTTATTAGAACACACACATTAAATATCCTCAATATGTATGAAAGCTGCCTTTATAAAAGTTAGTATACACAATACTCTATAGCATAACATAAACTGTAAATTCAGATATAATTCCTCATCTGATACATTAAGTATATTGTTCCTTTATTTCACAAAAAATGATGAACTGTAAATTCAGATATAATCCTTCATTTGATATTAAGTCTAAGTATTGTTACGTATCTGCTTGTTAGTTTGTTTCCGGTAGAAATTCTTTCTGAGGATCTTCAGCAATACAAGTTCTTTCTTGATTAAACCAGTTTATTCTTCCTCACTACAAACTTTTAGTACACAGTAGTTCCACAATCAGTACATTTCTCGTCACTTTAAACTTAACAACTTTTATAATACATGCTATAAATCACAGCGATTCTCAATCTCGATTACTTCGCTCTTGGCCAGTGCAAAACACACACTTTACGGCTCACTAGCTCAAAACTCAAAGTAATTACTGCTCCCTCTTCATATAAATCGTCCCTGCTGGCTTTCTCTGCCAGGCTTATATACTAATGAAGAGGGCATCTCCAACACACTTGATCATTTGCGAAACTCATTATGCCAGCAGCGTCACATGCCAGCTGCATCACGTAACTTCCACTGTTGTAACAGTATGTTGCTAATTTTTTACCCTACACTTCCATGGAATGCTGTGTTTGTTATTTCAATTTTTTATTTCGCATTATGCCCCAGTTTGTTGTTTGATTTTTTTTACTCAACTCCTATATAAAATATTTACATAAAAGTCTCCTTTGAAGACCCTAATTCCATTTTATTCTTCTCTTCTTTTGTTGTTTTTTGACTAAATAGGTATGCTGATGTTTCTTCTTAAATCCTATGGAAGAATAAAAATGCTATGTTTTATTGTTATTATTCTCTAGAATGTATTTGTAACAGACTGGGTACAAATCTTGCTGCTGGAACTTGTGATAAAATTACAGGCCAGTGCCATTGTCTTCCAAACGTAGTCGGTCAGTCATGTGATGAGTGTGCACCCAATCACTGGAATTTGGCAAGTGGTCATGGATGTAAAGAATGCAACTGTGATCCTCTGGGGTCCTATGATTCACAATGCAATGAGGTATATAAAGTAGTGGAATGTATATTTAAGTTTTCCTACTGCAGTTATATGTTATTACTATGTTGTGGTCAACACCATTTAAATTAAGGGTTTATCACTGTGTTGTGGTAATACCATTTAAGTTAAGGTTTATAAATTTTTTTGGTAACACCATTTTAATTAAAGGTTTGTTACTATGTAGTCGTAACACTGTTTTAATTAAAAGTTTGTTACTATGTAGTCGTAACACTGTTTTAATTAAAGGTTTATTACTATGTAGTGATAGTACTGTTTTAATTAAGGTTTTATTAATATGTAGTGTTAACATTGTTTTAATTAAGATTTTATTAGTATGTAGTGGTAGCACCATTTATTTCAAGTTTTCACTTATTATCACCATGTTGCTCGAGAGAAAAAGTTTCAACAGAGGCAAATATATTTGAAAGATGCCATAGGCTGCACCTGTCTAGGAAGTTTTTGGATAGTGCTTCAAGTTGCTAGCACAGATGTTCATCAAGTCCCAATTTCAAAACATACTTACCTCCTCACACACACTACAGCTATTACTGAACTACTAGGATTTCTTTTCCTTTGCCCATCTAAGCTTGGTTTGATTTTTTCTTGCTTGCTCCAGTTTTTTCTACCACACTCAATTGGAGGTTATGAGGTTCTTTGCATGGTGTCAGGGTTTAACTTCTAAGGTTGTCATGTACCTGTCTCAATCTCTGCATCATCCCACAATGGGTATTTATCAACAAAAATGACACACATATCAACAGTGGTGTATTGCAAGGAGGTTGAACCCACTTTGTCCAGACATGCTAACCATAGCTCGGTTTTTGACCTGGCTTTTTGACAAGGGTTTTGCATCTTCAACAATTACCCTATGTAAGGCGACCTTATTCCTTTGGTTACTCAAAGAGACAGAAATTCTTTGAGTCCCTAGTGCTCTCTGGCTTCCTCAAGTCTCTTTGGGTCCTTTCTTCCAAACAGCTATTTCAGTTTCCTAACTGGGATATAAAGGTGGTGTTACATGTTCTTTCTCGACATCCATTTGAGTCCCTAGCCTCATGTATCATCTTTCCCTTAAGGTTTATTTTTGTTGCTGCTGGCCTGTGGACATTCTACCTACATTCTTCTGTACATGGACAGGTCCTTCTTGCCTAAGACATTGGCAGTCAGGGAAGGGGATAAATCATTTTCACTGATTCATTTGACTGCTATATCTCACCTCTATGAGTGATGGGATTCCAATCATTTGTAATTTCCAGTGAGGGCCTTGAAGTGTTATGTTGCCCACACTAAAACGTTTAGGGGTGCTAGACAATTACTTTTTATTCATTGTGACCTTTCAGTTTCCCAGGATTTATCCCCTGTTACTTTGACGGGGTTGATACGAAATTTGATCCATATTGCTTATTTTGGGGTCTCTTTGGAGGGGAGGAGACTTCTGTGGGTCATGTCTGATCAGATTTATCACATTTCTAGTTGAACTGCCCACTGGAGGACACTGTGTGGGCTGGTATGTGGACTCTCCAATACTTTTGTCTCACATTATTTACATGATCTGGCAATATCTTCCTCTGAGGGTTTCCACTATCCCCGTACCTATATTAGCCACATCTACTAGATTATAGAAAGAAGTGAGTATTTTCATTACTATTCTTGTCTCTTCTTTCCTTTTCAAGGTCTCTTACCTCTTTTTCACAGGATCCCATTCTGTGGGGAGTGTTGCTCAGTCAGGTGGGATTTTATCAAACCAAATCTACACTACCAACCACTAACACAATATATGTTATCTAGGTTTCAACAGGCTCTATAGAAATGAGGTGTTCCATCAGACCAATTAGAGGCAGACCAGGTGGTATTACTTTACTATGTTGGACCACCACTCATGGACTATCATGAGTAAAGCATAAGGGGATCCTGCCCATCCCTACCAATCAATGGATTGCATAAATTGGTTAGTTTGTTTGCAAAAATGTAGGGAACTTGGTTCACCTATTGCACTGTTTCCAGAGCATTGCTCCTCAGGACTCCTCAGCACGCATTACCTCCCCCACCCCGTATTCTACTAGTGGAGCTATAGAGTCCTTACCATTCATAGTTACTGTGGTGGTGGACAGAGGTTATTCGTCCAGAGTATTTGAGTGACTTTCCTCCACTCTTAGAAAAGAAGGCGAAGTTGTTGTTTTTCAGATATCAGTAGGAGTGGCACCAGCTTACATGGGAGCCTAGTCGTAATACCAGTCAGATTTGATGCTCAGCTATTTGATTGAGTTGAGTGTGTCCCTTATTTTTAATCAATAATGGTTCAGTACATTGTTCATGGAAGAGGATCCGTTGTCTCCTCGTAATTCCGAATGCAGAGTGATCCCATCTTGGGTCGTTGGTTGGGCTATGTTTGTACCACATTATCCCCATAATTCTGGGGGCAATTGCCCATACAGTTGGGGAGGAAGGATGAGTGTTTTTAGTTCCTGTCCACATGAGTTCTGTTTCCTCATGTTAAGTATGGCATATAGAATTCCATCATTCTGAGTTTGGGCTATTGCCTTTCAGACATCATCAGGTTGAGGAGAGGGTTTGTCCACTTCAGTGTTGCTTACCTTCTCTTGGTGATTCCATTGGCTCGAAACACATCACTCTATAGCTACAGGTTGGATTCCACTCACAAATCTATCTATTGTGGTCCAAATGCCCTAGCCACCGACGTGGGATTTAGAGGCTATGGCCCTACAATTCCAACTCAGAGTAGTGTGACCTCGGCTACCTGGTTGGGGGCTGGCCAATGGTGATGATGGATCACGTCAAATTCCACCTGCAGTGCATGATTTAGGTTCTGGGTGAAGAACATGCCTGATTTGGATGTAGTGTGGTTCCCTCACTAGTGTACTAATCTTCTGTTGGTATGTAGTATGACCACGACCTATGTAAACGCATTCTGTATGGATAATGCCCTCACTGGCCCTCCACCTTATCAATGTGGGATTCCAGCTGTAGTGTGTTGGATGCAAGTATGTTTTGGAAGTTAACATTTTCTTAAATCAAATATGTATTTCCAATAACACTTACCTCCTTCTCATATTTCCTCACCCTTCCTCCATTCTGAGAGCTGGTGTTAGACACTACAAATTGGATCAGTGTTGAAAAAGTGACAAGGAGGTGCTTATATACAGTATCAGGATAGAGGGCACATTGACAAAGGTAGAGAGTGTCATGAGACATTTTTCCATGGATTATATTAGGCCGTTGTTATTTTTTACTACACACAAACATATATATCTATATATATATATATATATATATGTGTGTGTGTGTGTGTGTGTGTGTATTAGGCCATCAAGAAATTAATGTCACTTTTTAGACGAAAAACCAGAAAAACTTGTATATCAAAACAAAACATTCATTAAATCAAATAGTCTCCATTCTTATCGATGATGCTTACCTAATAATCAGGTTGTTAATGCCCTAATTAAAGAAATCACTTGACTTTGAAGCAAAAACATGTCGATGTCCTTTTTAACACCTTCCACATGTGCATACGTTTTCGCATTAAGATGATGTTGCAGCAAACAAAAACGATGGTAATCTGATGGTGCCATATCTGGAGAATATATGGTGGGTGAGGGAGAACTTCCCAACCCAACTACATAATCTTGTGTTGCGTCAAACGTGCCACATGTGAACGTGCATTGTTGTGGAGAATTGACGAGTGAAGGGCATTTCTGATGAAGGGCTTGATTTAAACGTTCCAGTTGCTGACTATAGATCTCTGCATTGACAGTTCGCTGTGGATTGAAGAGTTCAAAATGAATTACTCCTTTGATGTCCCACCAAATGCAATGCATCATTTTCTGCGGATGAGGTCCAGGTTTTGGGGACAGAAGTGGTATTTATCTAGGACTGAGCCATTGTTTTTGGCTTTTAATATTCGCATAGAGAATCCATTTTTCATCACCGGTGACAATTTTGTCCAAAAATGGTTCATGTGCATCATGCACCAAAAAAAAAGATGAAGCAACGTTCACACATTGGAAACGATGATCATTGGAGAGTTTGTGAGGCCCACAAACAAATTCTGTATGGAGTTTTCCCATATTCCTTAGATGTTTGCATATCGTTTCATGAGAGACATGGAATTTCAGGGCCACTTCACGAGTGTATTGCATTGGGTTAGACTCAACAAGCATCTTCAGAGCATCAATATCACTGCCAACATGTCAGCCCCTGCCATCACAGTTTTTAAGACTAAAGTAACCTGAACGAAATTACTAAACCGTTGTTGACACTTACAAGTGTTCAAAACATTTCCATAAACTTCCATGATATTCTTTGTGGCTACAGAGGCATTGTTTTCCTTCTTGTATTCAAACAGCATTACATGTGAATGTGTCTCATCATGTGCCATCACTGTAAGGTATTAGAGTATACTAAACTTTACACATTATATAGGCTACACTAACGTGACTTTTAGGTGGTTCGTTTAACTATTATACATGATGTACGTTTTTTAGAGGGTGGTTAATGAAAGTGTTCCAAAAAGCGATATTAATTTCTTGATGACCTAATATATATTTGCATGGTACAATGCAGCTATAACATGTGTAAACACATGATGTTAGGTGGGAGCATCAAGGCTTGTGGCAAGTGAAAATTGCACATATAGAGGGCAGTACAAATTGAGGAAAGTTATTATGTGAGTAGAGATATCTGTTGGAAATCCATTTTAACTGTAGAAAAATGTTAACTTTAGCTTGCATAATGTTTATGTTGTTATTTTATACATATATAATAGGTGATAAGTAAGTTTTTAGCATATATGATAACTGTTCATATCCAATCACCCTGGAATGTCAGTTTGAACTGTTGTTAATCATCTGATTACTTAGTTTGATGGCCAGTGTCACTGTAGAGCTGGTCGTGGAGGAAGGAGATGTAACGAGTGTGAATCCAACCACTGGGGAGACCCATCCATCCAGTGTTATCGTAAGTAAACAAAACCAGGTTACTTTTAAACTTATGCAGTGAATCAATTAACAGTGGGTTGTGTTTGAAGCAAACAAGTTGTTTAGTGTGTCCAATCACTTAAATCATTAGAAAATACATTTAGGTAATTAGACAGCACATTTAGATTGTTTGAAAATACACTTAGAATATTAGATAGTACACTTAGATCATTATAAAGTGACAATATATACACAGCATGGTCACAAGTAAATAGACACCACCTTTTCAGGAAAAATGAAATTTTTCAGTCATATTCACATGAATTGATATATTAATAAGTTAATTAATATCTAGTAGATCATCCTTTTGCTTCATGGAGTTCGTTGATCCTTTGGGGCATCGTGAGAATCATCTCGTCAATTTTAGATTGTGGGATTTTCGCCCACTCTTGCTTCAAAACTTGGAGTAGATCGCTCTTCGAAGTTGGTTTTTTTGGTTGTTTCTTGACTTGCCGGTCGAGTATGGCCCAGAGGCTTTCGATGGTGTTCATGTCAGGATATTGGTTCGGCCAGGGCAACTTCCGGATACCATTTTCTTCTTTGGGTGTTTCTAGTATTGTGACACGGTGCTCCATCTTCTTGGAACAACGTTGTGTTCTTGTCCACGAAACCCGAGGAATAAAGTGGCAAGAGTCCTTCCTCCAATATTTCGACATATTTCACAAAATTTATGTTGCCAATGCACTCCACTAAGCTCGATCTCCCACCAACCCAAACAGCTCCCCAAACCATCACGTTGAAACCACCATGCTTCACAGTTGGCTGCAATCTGTTGAGCCAAAATTCTTGGTGAGGCATTCTGCAGACCCATATCCTTCCACTGTCTGAAAATTGAG